CTGTGGTGGTATCCCGCAGTCAATAATCTCCACATCTTCTGCATCATGAGATCGAAAAGCGCCGAGCGTCTTACGTTAGGTACATTAAGCGTACACACTCAGATGTACCGATTAGAGTATACCATTAGTGACCACATATTACTGTTGTTGATGTTAACCGGTGTTGTAGAAATAATTATGGCAGCGCCGGACGAAATAAAATGGCTGCAGAACCTTCTGGGCGACGGCTGGACGTTCTGCTGCACGACTTCAACCATGAAGGACTCAGTTAGGGGATTTTCACGTTTGCTTGATGGGCTAAATCTCCGCTGTACTATACACGGCAAGCTAGCCGATGCCGTGGAATGCCAGCATTACTGCCAGTGGGAAGGAGGGGAACGATTAAAGAACGATCTGGAACGCTGGCCTATAAATTCAGCAGCGTTTGACACCTTAAATAGGGGGTTGGAAAATTATTGTCCACCGAACAAAAGGATTTCATATTGTCACGTACTGGGATTCCATTCAGAAATTTTGAAAGTGATGATTCGGAAACCCCGTTTGGTTGGAGAAGATTACTTCAGTTCATGCGGCGTTCAGAGTTGGTTTCGATTTACTTAATTTCCAAAGTTTATACCGATCTTTCAGATAAATTGTTTATATTACTATTGAGTGCTCGATTGATCAACGTAACTTTGACAGTAAAGTAAAGCAGTAGTAGTAAAGTAGTAGTTTTTTCTTGGAATTATGGGTACATGCGCATGCAGTGATCGCGTTTATTTTTTCGACGGTATGCCCACTTCACGGAACATGTGTTAACTTAATATGCAAATAATTAAATCATTTTAATCTGAATTTTCAGTTTTTGAATAATTAATTGTTAATCAGTGCTTTACTTAGATTATGCCTTCACATTTTGGATTCAGTTTATGTATTTCGCTTTTTCAAGCAAAAAAGCACCTACCTAAACTAAAGGCAATTTTATTGCCGGAATATTCTATTCGTACCTTAACCTATACAGTATCCTTTCACAGTGGAACGAACGTGTTCTGCCTAACGGCCAGCTAAGGGTATCACGCTACAAAACACGGATAAATAGGTATTCGGAGTTTACAGATAGAGCTTCTGCCTTCGCACTTCCAGAATTCTTAGAACTTCCGGTGGAGGAGTGTTCGAAACCGTTCACCAACTCGTTACATCGCAGACTATCGGTTTTCTTGGCGAACAGGTATATCACTGTCAACCCCTGAGCCCGCCTGAGGTCTGCTTCCGTCGCTGCGTGACAAGCCCGGCGGTTCAGCTGCTGAGGAATACCACCGCTCTTGCAACAGTTTCTTCTGATGCTGTGCAACAGTTTTTTGAGATGCGGTTCATTTTTTAGTGCCACGCCCGTCGTCCTTTCGTTAATGGATATTCGTGCCATTTCGTGGTGGTCTTTGGTTTCTACTTGCTGTCTAAATGAGCTTCGGTTGTGCGCCATCTCCACAGGAAATCCAAATCGCAGGACCACCCGGACCCTGAAACCGTCTTTTCTCAGGATGATTCAGCAGATGAATGCAGTTGCTAAAGGCCCGCGCTCGCGCTGAGGCGCTGAGTCTGACCCCTAAAGGGCTGAGTCTGACTGGTAAAGGCTGAGTCTGACCACTAAAAGGCTGAGTCTGACTAGGACTCTTTGAGTGGCACCTGTGAGATGGCAGGTACTTCACCGGAAATATTCGCAGACATCATCACATCCTGTGAGTAATGCAACCTTAAGCCCAATACGAGAATTAGTATAAAAATGTTCAGCGCCGTGAATACGGAGCGTTAAAAACAGAAACAGTTACAGTACAAGGTTTGGCCACACCAACCTACTTAAGAGACAAAAAATGAAGGAGCTTTATTTCTACAAAATTTTGAGCTGATGATATAACGATTTAATAAATTAAATTACGAGTACCGCATGACACAATATGATGACTACAATAATCATCATCAGTAGTTTTAAATCATGAACGGCTTTTCTCTTTGTTAATGCCTGCATTGTGTTGGTACGAAACAAACTCCAAACAGTATGAGTACTATGCGACAAAATGAACAATGATGCTGGGGTACACTGCAGAGACGGAATTTTTTGTCATATACTATGGTCTGATTAGTTAAAACACATAACATATAAATCTTCAATGCAAATGGTCAAAAATTATAAAATTGTAGCACTATAGAAGCCAGCGGTGGTATAAAGGCGGTATACGGAGCCTCCATCCATTTTTTTGCACATCTGTTACATAAGGTCTGCTCTACCGTTCCTACATCAAAGAACGGCTTGAGAAATTCAAGCGCCACGGTTTTCAAACATGCTAACTTTAATGACATTATGAGTTTTTTGTCTTTTCGTAGTGGATTCTGTATACGAAGATTATGGGGAAATTGTAGCAGATAGATCCTTTTCTTTGATAGAGAACAAGTCGTTAATTAATTATCTTCACGTCTTAGTTATTTCCTGAACCACATTTTTTTCGTTAACAGCTGTCACTGGTGCGCAACTTAAAGCATCACGAGCAGTTATACATACGTAAGTGACTCTCGGCGACCGTGTGCCGGTTTTTCTTTCCAGGGTTCGAAACACTGGACAGTGCCCTTTTTCATTTTTGAACGAACTTTTCACCCTGTTTTGCATTTATTTTCTGTGCCGCTGGGTCTTTCAGGCTCTTTTTCATAAAGACAATTTCAGCGCCAAAAAGTTATTCCGGGCGGCCAAGATTAGGCAGTAATTTTACGAAATAATTACGCTTGATGTGTTCGTTTTGAAACTGTTTCTAAAATAAAATTTTTCATTTAAAAATGTTTATTCTTGTAGTGTGTGCTTCCGTTTTTGTTTAAAATTTCTGAGGCGTGACCGACATAACCGACAAAATTCCTGATTTCTTGAACATAGAGGACCTTTGTTTTGCTTCGGTCGACTAGCATTTGTACTCGTAGCCATTCCCCTACTGCAGTGCTCCCCCCGTATTATTAGCATGGTACTTAAGCTGATAGAAACGATATGTCAGCGATCAGATTACGGCTAATTTTGTTTTCATTCAGCCGAGCGGCAGCGCCGGTTAATAGTAAATACATATATAAATTTAATAGTATTTAAAATCGCCAACTTTAATAGCACGTTGCAACAAAAGACAAAACGTTACAGAAAGAAAACGTTAAAAAAACTACAGAAAGAAAACGTTAATTAAACTAATTGAGGAAATTAATCGCTACCTCAGCGAATTGTAGAAGGCAGCTCGTTCGATAGGCTTTTTTTGGTAAGCAGAAATACCGCCATAGCAAATAAATTTTGCACCATTCAAGCTCCGTCCGTTGGCTGGCGGAGTTGGCTTACAGTCTTACACCGGGTACCAGTGCACTGGATGTCGTGCAATGTTCTCACAAAAACCACCCATATCCGGTATGGTCCTTGTTAGAAATGAGCCTAACTATGAAAAAAACAAAACAGGCATTGCACCGGCTCGGGACTGCGCTTACCGTTTATCTGTTGCCTGCGTGCGGAATCGTCACCCCGATTTTTCAGCTAAGAATGAGCGCTTTGGCGAGGATATTATCACGGAGTTTAGGCTGAGCGAAGCGAAGAAGGATTCCCTGTTGGATTTCATGGAGACCGTGCCGGAGCCTGTCCCGTATTCCGCTTTAGCTAACGTATCATATTTTCTATCCCTTATTTTTGCTTAATGACTAGTAAGTATTTAGTTATGTAATTTGTGTTCTTTTACAAGTTCTTGCCATATCTCTTATCTGCGGTTGTTAGAAATACCGTATTCTGCATTTTGACTTTTTCCTGCGTAACAGTTATGTTAATATGTTTGCTCTAAAAGTATCATACTGTGTTTGAATTTGTTAGCCTTATCAAGCAGCCATTGTGTATCGGATTTTCCCGTGTGACGGAAATTTGACTGAGCAGTAATGATGGCATCACTGAATTGTTTCGTTTCGTCAGCATTTCGTTCTATTCTTTGGATCCTTTTTCTCATGTTGAATAAAAAATGATTTTTTATACAATTTCCGCACAAAACTGTTTAAGGAAAAGACTGTGTAATTCCAAAGTCGCTACGCTATAAATACTACTCTATGCATCGACAATAACAACGCCACGCCATTTGCTACGTTATGGATTTATTAACAAATCGAAATAATAATATACAAAAGTTGTTGCAACCATGTTGAAAAAAACCAAGAAAATATAATCAATAATAATAAAATAACTCAATAGTATGCAAAAATAACTGCAGTATTTCTTTTATGTATTTTTAATTAGAGCAGTGTGGCTAAACGTAACAATAGCTTACAATCATTATTATAACTGCGGTTATTGTAAACGTTCCGGTTTCGCACGCCGTTGAGCATTGTCAAACCACTTCTCGTATAGGGCTTAATTATTGTCTTAATTACTGGATATTATGACATCTGCCAGTGTTTCCGGTGAAGCACATATCGTCTCAACAGGTGCCACTCAAAAAGTCCTAGTCAGACTCAGCCATTTAGTGGTCAGACTCAGCCTTTACCAGTCAGACTCAGCGATTTAGGGGTCAGACTAAGGCTCAAACTCAGCGCCTCAGCGCGGGCCGTTGCTAAATGAAAACTCGTGCACTGGGAGCTAAGCTACCGCGTCCGATGAAACGGATTAAATCAACAAAAGCCGTTCAAATATTCCAAGCGTTGCGAGTTGCGATTGCCAGATAGTAGATTGATTCGGTGGATCAGACACAATAGCTTAGCATACAATTATTTGTGCTATTATGCATATTAGTTTTTTGGTAGTCAATGCCGCATCAAGTACGTTATGTCGCTCACTTGTCAGCCGGACCGCACTTTTTAATCGTTAATATCAGGAGTCACGATGAGCGGTGATTGATTTACCATTAGGTTAGTCGATGAGTCATAACCGGTTCATTCTTTTATGTGCAATATCAAAGCCAAACAGAGAGACAGTGCTTGAGTCTGCCTGCTCAGATTATTTTCAGTCTCTCTCTAGCGCCATCTCAATTATTACGGCTAGGCAGGCTCAGCTGATGGTGAGTCAGAACCAATCTCTCTCTGGCTTTCGCTACTGTATGAACCTGTAAACGTTGCTCGAGCACTCTGCACTATTCTGCAGCACATGGACCGCTTTCCGGCTCAGATTCTGCAGTGTGCACTGTGCAATAATAATCCATCTGGGAGACGTGTGTTTTTTCTAGCGAAGTTATAGAATACTAGTAATGGAAGTTAATTCGTTACTTCCGTGGCTATTGACTGGACGGACGTCGCGGAACCGTTAGTCACAGACACAGTAATCGTTTTTGCTATAACCGATGGGAAACATTCGTGAGCATTCCGAGAATTCCAGAGCCATCACAAAATCCGGGGTTCTAGTTCTTTTAATGGAATCAAGTGCATTGGGAAATCATGAATATGGATCACGGCACCAACCGCACGAATGCAACAGACTCCTGGATCTTTCCAGATATTCCCACATCTGGTATTCGCATCATCTACCTGGAGCAGTGGGAACCGTGGGCCAGTCAATCACACGGCGGTGTCCATAAAGCATTACGGACCGATACGGGTGAAATAATTGTTGTTAAGACGGTCGACGTGGATGGAAGGGGTGATATGTCCTGGAAGGAGGACAACGAAACGCGAAACGGCCTACTTGATACTCTCAAATCGCATTTTGAGTTCATAAAACACCTGCGCCATCCGAACATCGTGCACCATCTGCATTACCAAGAGCAGATGAAGGGAGAACAACGACTGTATGGCTTTGAAATTTTCATGGAGCTTTTCGGAAGTAAGCACTGCAGTAGAAAAGGCTGTCTATAGGAAATCCCAGGAAATTTAAAAAAATGCAAAGTGGATGTACCGACATGTACAGACTACAGTCAGAAAACATCGTGCTGCGGCAACGTACAGAGCACGGTCGCAACAAGTACGGTAACCCGTATTTGGAGGATAAACTGTAGGGACGTGGGGTTACATGATACCTTAGTTCGTAAAGGTCATCCTGTCTCGTTAGCAGATGATCGTAACCGGCTTTCGTTAATACTTCATACCTGCTTTGCGTGAACCTGTTGTTAGATACCATAATATTTCAATCACTCTGATTAACTTTTTCTGTAAAGCGATCCTTTCACGTCATTCTATACAAACCACTTCAGTTGTGTTAAATAATTGTGTATTTTTTTGGGAACGGCTTTGCGTCGCCACAAATCGTCTCTCTGGAAATGCAGGGCGCAAAGCCAAATTACTTCGCGTGCTGAGCCGGCGCATGGCCAATTTACTTTGCCTACCGGAACGCACAGTGAATTTATTTTTCGCCCGAAATATACGGTGCACAGCAGTGAACTATTTTTACATAAAGTATCGTAAGTGTTGTGAACTCATAAGCCCAAAAATTCACAGCGAAGCCTCAACGTTATCGCAACTGTGCTCGTACCTTTAATAAGTATCGGACATCGGATACAAACTAAGTACCAAAAACGAAATAATTATAACAGAAAGACTTCTATGCTATCATAATCGGGGATCGTACCCATTACACAAATTTCGTTCCCCGTTGTATTTGGGTAATAATCGCTGCTAAAAACCTTTTCGCACGTTTCTGGCCAGAGGAAGTCGCTATACCATTTCCAACTTTTTCCACCAAGTAGCTTCTTAGTTCCGTCTCCCCAAGGCCCGTAAATTTCGAAGGCTGCAGCAACGAAATCGTACCGTGGTTGCAGCCAGGCGTGTTTTGCTTCAGTAGTACCAATACTCCGCCATTCCGTTTATTCACAATTTACCGAAACACACTGCTGCAGATTCACGTAGCGATTTTGCAGCAACGACAACCACTGTTGCCATGTCACTACGCCACAGTAAGGTACGCGGTTTTTAGAGACGTTTACATATAGTTACTGAAATAGTCATGAGGTATAGTTATGAGTTGTTTCATGAGAGTATTCGACGAATAAAAGTTGCTGATCTGGCTTACAATTGGCCAGTCTTTCAGAAACGCTATTCGCATCGATTTTTGATACACAAAAGACATGGCGTAGTATTGCTGATGCAGAATTTTCATGGGAACTGCACCGTTGTAGCCATGTTTTATCACAGTAATCATTAATTTTCTTAATGGTTGCCTGTAGTAAAATGCAAGTATGCGATTAGGATAATTCTTATACCTAAACATTACGTCGATGGTTATAAACTACTGTCTTCATCGTTGTAACAGGGAGCACACTGCATAACATGGCCTGCTCAGTGGAGCTTACCTCCGTACAAATCCAACACATAATGCGACAGGTTGTCGACGGTCTGGCCTATCTGCACGAACACCATTGTGCTCACCGTGACCTTCGAGGTTGTAACATCCTGGTGGCGCCAACAGGAACGAACGAATACAAAGTAAAATTAGCGGGTCTGGGAAACATCAAAGACGCGACCGGTAAATGGGCTTATCGTCGCGATTACAGATACATTCGTTTTTTCGCGCCGGAGCGCCTCTTGTTCGACCGTAGCCCGCCGCGATACCAACCACCGGGAGCAGCGAGTCGGCGAAACAAGCGCCTGGACGTGTGGAGTTTAGGGTGCGTTGTCCTGGAGGTGGTGAATCGAGGCTGGCCGGAATACTTTAAAACAGATTACCAAGGTCAGCGGGTGAAACTGGAGATGGACAATGTGGTTGGCCTCCTGTGTGTCGTTATAGAACAGGAGGGCTCGCCGGAAATCTCCGATGCATTACCGGAAGCAGTGCGCAGTTTTATTGAGAAATGCCTGGTCCGTGAGCCGCGCAATCGCCCGAAGGTGGAGGATCTTAAAGGGCATGAATTTCTGACTGCGCCAGAGGATGTTGTTGGGAATTGGATACTGCCTCCGCGCACAGTTTCACGCGACGATTTTGTTTATTAACTGTTGTACATACGTAGTTTTGCGCTAGTTATCACCAGGAGTGCCCTTACAGTTTCACTTCACATTCTGATAATTTGCATTTAGTTACGTATTCCTACTGTAACTATTTTTTTCTAATAACGTTGCGATACTACATATTTAAATCTCGAAGTGTTATGTTTTAAATCTTACAGTTTTTAAAGCAAAGTGTCATATAATTAGACTTGCGTAATCTGCCAGTTATTCTATTATTATAATTTTGCTGATTCGCAAAGCATTTTGTATGAAATCCTGTCGGTGCCGGTCTTCGGCACATGTTGAAATATACTGCAATCTGAGGCTTTGCTCCGATGAAGAGCTTTATTGGGTCACCATAAGAAAGAAAGCAACACCTTGAATTGAAGCACACCCACGATACAGGCGAATTTCCGTGTATGGACCAATGAATAGCTGTTTTTACATTAGTTTTTCAGCGCAAAACGGATAACAGAAACGGGTAACGCGGAGCGGACAAACGTTCCTTCCCCCTTTATTGCGACTTAGCGGGGTATCCATAACCGATTAAACGGCCGCACGGATACCATTGGCATAAAATGTAGCGTCTGGACGCTACATTTAGCTTATCAAGATAACAATTTACATCTGTTCATCACCAGACAATGTTTTTAACTTTAGGGTTCATGTGCGAGCCAGCCGAACAGGCAAACGCTTGTGAAAATTCCGGAATATTAGACACCGCCCCGTTCACTAGCAGTTTCGACGGCGCATGTGTTTCCCTTTCCATCCACGCTTCCTGGGCCTCCATCGACATTTTATTACACCAGATCTGCGCGGCCGAAATGAAAAACAGCTGCTCAGGACGGAATTTCTCCAGACCGTGCAGGAGAGACTCGGGATGACCCAGTCGCTTGACATATCGAGCATAAGCCTAAAACTGCCAAAGGTTAATCACAGTCTTTACGGGCATAACAAGCGCTAAATGCCGGTGCCGAAATTACACCTTATAAGCTGCACGCAGTCCGCCGTTATCAGCGATATTCTCCCCCACGGTGCGGTTGCCATCCATTCGTCCGCCCGGCATGCGGTAGCTGCTGTACTGGGCAATCATCCCTTGTAATGCTACTGGGAAGCGACGAGCAGTTTCATTGGTCCACCAGTTGTTCTTGAAACCGTCACCATCGTACTCGGCACCTGCAATCGTTGTAACTCGACTGATTTTTATGACTGCCGCGAATTGTGAAAAGCAATGGGTACCGTAATCGTCAAATCCGTGGGTGACCTCATGGGCAATTAGGGAACCAAGGCCACCATAATTCTGATACTGAGGGCCATCGGCGCTGTAGAATGGCAGCTGCAGAATTCCCAGCGGAATCGCTGCAAGCAAACAGATTTGTAAAATTACCAACGTATTGATTTGTAAAACTGCCAACGTATTACATCAGATTACGGTACTTACTCATTGAATTACGGTACTTACTGATTGAATTGGTACCTGGCCGGTACATCGGCCCCATTTCCATGATTGACAAATCCCCATCCAGCGCGTCATTGCGATTGTTATATCGCATAATGTTATACAAACGCCGCTGCTTCAGCGCTTTAGTGGCTTGCAGCATGGAGGCTAAGAATGATTCTCCAGGAATTATCTAAAAACTAATGGTTTCCGAGCTTTTATTATAAAATGTTTCCCGGACAGCTGCGAATTACCGTTTGGTAATAGGAGGACACTAGCATGGTGTTCGGCGAGAATCCATCCGGGTAACCCGCCCCGAAAAGCAATGCCGACAATTTTCCCATGGCAGTGATCTTAGTCCGGTCATCCATCCAGTTAACACTTACCAGCAGGTCGAGAAAACCGAAGGTAATGTCGCGCACCATTTGTTCTACCTACAGTAAACTTTCAGCAAAATTTTCGAAATCATACCTTTTATAGTTCTGTAATGACACAGCGTTAAGCTTATTTTTAAGTTTGAACAGCTGTTTCTCAATTGTACGGTATCTGACCTGTTTTTTAACTCCTTCGTAAGATTTGTCTTGGATCCACATCAATGCTACAGCCAGCGGCATCGTTCTTGTAACCACGCCCACACACCGCTCTTCATCCGATACCGCTTCCTCCTCTGCAGCGGGGTTGTAAGGATTCTCCGCTGCGGTTATCACGCTTTTTGGTAGATACTGTGCAAACTCGACGATAAACTGCGCCCCGATAAAGTTGGCAAGCCGGCGTTTGCTTTCGTCATCGGAGGACTCCAATTCCGCTATAATTGCGTCTACACTGCGGAGGTACGTTGGGTTGCGGATCATCACCGCCGTCGTTCCTTCCAGACAGAAAGTGCAGTCCCCATACAGCGCACTGATGTAGTCACCGAGGCGGCGCAGCGACTCCGACTGGAAGTACGTGGTGCTGTCGTTCAGAGTCAGATAAAAATCAGCTTCGGGGTTCGCGTAAGTTTCCCAAGTTGCCTTCGAAACAGAATTAATTCTAACAACTGAATCGCTAAAGAAATTAAAAACTAATATGACTAAAACCATTTAGTAAATGCAATTCACTGATAAATTTAAACAGTAAACTGATTTCATTTGAATAAACTGAAAGGCTAAGCCGCTAAGGTACTTTTAGAAGAAAACAAGTTTTATACTACTAGTACGTCTCGGTGAGTTTTACAAAACTTGACTGATGTCGCCTTGGAAAAGCAAAAACGTTCCAATAATTTTAGCAAATCAACCTTTAAAGCTTAACATACCGAAATTAATCGATTCTCAATGTCCAAAATTTCTTCCGCTGCTGTTTGGAGTGTTTCCTGCTCCACTGTACTGTCGGTTTGTCCAGCCATTACCGTGGCGACGCCCACAATCATACCGATATATGTTTCATTGAGCATCTCCCTCGTCATATTTTCGTTGCTCATCAGGCGCAAGAAGCGACTCGGCATTGAGAGGGAAATGGCATTACTGCGTGGATAATCCGGATTCGGCACAGTTTCGATGGAAAAGAATGGTTCCACCTCGTAGGGCGTGGTTTTAACCATGGCGTCTAGGAGGTTGAAGGTCGATGCATCCCAGGTTGAAGTCAATAAAGGCCATCCGGCGATGGTCTCCATCATCACGTCTAACAGCGGCTTCGAATCAGCTCCGTCGCTTTCTACTGAAAAATGCAAATTATTAAATTTTGACTTTCGCGAAAAAATAGTATAAGCCCTATTACCTTGATTTACACACTGTTGGTAGATAGTTCTGGCTTTCGTTTCCGATGCGAATGTTGCGGGTTTTTCGCTACTTAAGAGCCCTAAGTAAAATCAAAGGATATTTCGATATTATAGTTATTAAACTGCTCGGAGTTTCTATCGGCAACCTTGTTTGACTTTATTCATTTCCTCGGTTAGAATGTCGTATTCGTCGATAGTTTCAATCTCCGCGGGAAGAGAAGCGATCCATTTTCCGCATGAGTATTGGAAAAAATCCTCGCAAGGATTGATTTTGGAGTCGATTCGACTGAGATACTTTTTAGCTGAAATATCAAATATTGAGGTGTCATATGATGGTTCCCGTATTGGTAAAGAAGTCAGATGTCCATTTTTTACCAGTCTGTTTACAGGACTCGGATGTACACACGTTATTGTGATGCGTCTCCGCTGCAAAAATTCATAATAAAATTCGCAATACAGTGTTTTTATGTCAACCAGAAAATTTGCTACCCCCTTAACGAATAATTACGAAGCACCTACCTATGACTGCACGAAACACCATAAGGATGATCATAAAAGACGCCTGCATCATCGTAAACGCCGCCACCGGCATTTCTATAACGGTGAGTACTATATTACGTGTAAATGTACACTGCCGTCAGTTACAAGAGAAAAAAGCTTGCCGGGTTTATGCAAAAAATAATTGTAGTCCCGTTATATTCTACAGCTGCTAAAAAACAGAATTTGCCGCATGGGACTGCTTAGCATGCTGGTTGTAATGTTCAGAGTGAATGGATGTATTGTCAAACCAACCGGTTAGACTGCAATCGCCGCATGCAAATATGCCGACGCCGGCAAATTCACCTATAGCCTGCGACTACAGAATGCCAATATTGTACTATTTTATTATTGAATAAGTGAAGCATAACGAGCGTAACATTTTTATTCTGGTCATACAGGACCATTACTCATCACCGGCAATGAACACCGCGAACATGAGAAATACTCCCGCAGCTAGGAATGCATGTTTTGTACCGCCGCTTTCGAGGTACAAACATTCAATTGTAATAAACGCGTTTAGACGCAGGAAATTATAAAACGAAGTTGATCCTTGTCTGCTTCCATCCGTAGATTTGGTGACAGGTTTCGCTGTTTGGCAACCCCGTAGGAATGATACAAACGCACTGGCGCACGCCTATCACTCCTCGGCCAACTTCTGAGTTTAATTAGCGCTCAAAACTGGCGCACAGGCGCGCCCAAATCATGTAATTTTTTAAGGGCGCATACTTCCCTGCAACATAATTACCGTAGCCGGAAATGGGCCATTTCAAATTCCTTGCATTTTATTCAACTGCACTCGTACATTCATAAGCAATTACTATAAGCAAGACAGTTAGCCGTGTTCTTCCGAAACCTCAGTAGATTTTCATACCTAGGTATTTAGGACAACATTCTGATTTTTGCGATGTTTAGAAATTAAATAAAAGATGCTCCAACATCGAGTTTTTCTGATTTTTTCAAACGACTATGATTGCTTCGACTTTATCATTATACAGTACAAAGTTCGATCAAATGAATACCAGCATTAAATTTTGATCATTTTACAACGGATCATTTCGTACCTTCTCCTTTCTTCATGATGATCTGTGTTCGAATAAATGTGTTTTGATGTAATTACACTAATGCACGTGCGCGTCTAGGGAATACCAATGCACGCTTCCGCCGCACTGAGGTAGTCCAGAACACTGTGCCTTCAGTCGTGAACTCATAATGCATCTGAGCGTCGGAAGCGATTGGAATCCGAATACGGCATCCGCCATCCATCGTTCTCAATGTAGTGCGATTCCAAGCGTCAAAGCTGACGTTCCCTCAGCAAACCAAAGCATCATGGACGCCGATCTCAAGCCCACAGCAAAATATCCACGTACATTATCTATATATCTCATGTACCTGCGCGTCACCGGTGTTCTCACCAGCACACCCACCTCATCCACGGAAAGAAATCTTCTCCGACTATTATGCACCGTATGGTCCATCCTCCTGCTGGCTTTCTTCACCGCTTGCTCCTTCATGGACATGTATCTCTACATCCACATCGAGTATTACACCATCGTCGATCTGGAATTCTTCAGTCTGGTCCTTCTGGCGCAGCGCGTTTTGATGGCGTGCCACGCCCCGTTGGCGGGTGTCTACATGCTCCTTCATCGTAGCAAGATCGTCACTTTACTGAATAAATTGTTAGCGTGCAATGCTTTTTCCACCGGTATGCCGCGGGCAGCCTTCTTGGCTGTACTATGGACGAACGCGGTTATCGGCGCGGTTGTTTTCGCGGCGCACACGGTGCTGATTGGACTGCGGCCACCTCCGGTTTCCTCCGCCACAATTCGGCCGATGGGCTTGGCGCAAGCTCAATCCGGGATTCTGAACGACTGGAACACTTTGTATCCGTTTTACTTAACAGCCAATGGAGTACTCGGTCATGCAGTTATGGCGCCGCATATGTTTATTCTCATGCTGGTGTTCTTTCTGTCTACCTGTTTCAAACAATTAGCCTGTGAAATCGGCCGCAGCGCAACGAAACCTGGAATTTTTCCTGCAGATTTCGTTCAGAAATTTCGCCAGTATACCGGTGTATTGCGATACTTTAACGGGACGTTTGGTTATTTACTACTGTTTAGCTGTGTGCAGGACTTAGTTGAGGTGGTCTCGATGATTGCCTGGGCGTTGCGACCGATTACCGAACGAGATGCCAAGGAAGATCTGGAAACGTTTGCCATTCGAATGGAAATCAACCGCACCGGCGATTTGTTTCGCTATTTAACGGGATCAATGCAGATTGCTACGATGTTGATTCGGCTGTGCATTCTGATTAAATGCAATGAAAAGGTCAAGTTCTTTAATTCCTTTAATTATTTGTTAGTGAATTTTGCTGGAAATCAGTGCGAGTTACATATTATTAAGGTGACATTTCCTGCAGCTGGGTTTAACTCCACATCTTTATTTTACGTCTTTATTTATTTCTAGGTAAAGCGTGTTAAAAGGGAACTAGAGGTTCTCAGGGATGAAACCGGGATCGACGAGGAAACTGACTTATTTATTGCCAAGTTTGTAATGGAAATTGACACCACTCGAACTACCGCTGTTTCGGCTGGAGGATTCTTTTGCATCACACGGGAATACCTTGTTACGGTATGCAAGGCGCTTTTGAACCGCTTTTATGATTACCTGATACGGGAAGAGCTATTACGCTGACGTTGCAGATTGTGGGAGTACTGTTGACCTACTTTATCCTCCTGTATCAAACGCACGACTCCGGAAGAGACATGCAGGCACTGCTGAAGACGGAGGTGTTCACCACGCAAATGAACGCCGTTCTACGGAATATCACAGCAGGGATACTGGAATTTCGCAAATGACGACTGCAGAGATGTTAATTGTTCGCTAACCGCATATTCGTTCGAAGTGAGGCATGCTTTGTAACGCAACGTAAAAGTGAACGAAACACGAAACTGTGTATAAAATTTGGTTTAGTTTTTTAGCGCGAGGGTTGATTAGGCTTTGTCTAATTATTTCCAAGCGCCGACAGCACGTCATCTTTGTCGACCTCGACAAATGATTTCCTTTTTTTCTTGGTATTACGCAAACTGCTGTATATATGAACAGATAACAGTATGTACAGACGAAAGAGGTGAAGTATGTAAAAACACAGATGACATACGAGATATTGTACACAAAATACAGAGTCCACATATACTGTAAATGTGAATATAAAAATTATAGATACATGCATATAAAACCCTATATAGATATATATACATCTCCCGGCTAAACACGTAGGGAAAGGGCACCGCTGCTGTTTTATTATTGTCCGTGATTCGTATGTACGAAATGAAAAATGCACTATAATTAATTACCATGCAATACATAAATTCTTTGTGGACACAGTAATGCGCTAATAAACGGTGTTGCCGAACGCTCAAACAGCAAAAAACACAACGCTATTAGCTGGTTGGTTCTGTACACTGTGGGCTGTCTGGTTCAATGCCTTCGCTGGTGCAGCTTTAGCATACAGATTACAAGAATCTCTCCAAGAATGGCTCAAGTGATATTCCGTATATCCTCTAAAATACTCAGCAACGGTGCACGACGGATGGAGATTGCAAAGCGTCCAGCATAAATCAAGCGAAACCCCGGTCTTCAACACCGGTTCACCGGATACTGTCTTCAGCATTTCCCCGGTAACTTCCACGTTGGTGCGCGCGGTAAAACTTTTGTAAACAAAACCCACGATGGCGTCGTTACCATGGCGGCTCAGGTAGGTGAATTTGCAATCATAGTTGGACGATACGAGACCGCATTTGGCCGCTCGGGCTTCCAGAGCTTCGTAGTAATCCTTCCCTTTCAACTGCTGATAGCAAACTTCCTCGGTTACGTTGTAGTGGACAGCTTTAAGAGATTCCTGGGAAAATCCTGGAAATAGCTCAACTGACGGCCCATTTACGTTACATTTCGAGTCTTCGGCTGCTCGGTCGGCTACATAAGCGGCGTAACGGCAGTCCTTGCTTTTACGGCATTTTTCGGCGCAGTCCGCGGTGCCCGTGGTAGCAATGTACGCGATGTTCTGCTTGCCGCAGTCAACGGCGAAGTCGCTGACGTATATGGCAGCTCCCTTCTGTAACGAATTATAATCTGGTTAGCGCGCCAATTCTTAACGCGTCGCTTTTAGAGCATGTCTTACGGTTTGAGTGGAAGTATTCCCAATGACTGCAGAGCTGCCCGCCGAATTCTTTTTATCGCAAACGGCTAGGCTCGCTATAATCAGAGAATGGTGTTTAATAAACACAGTAGCGAAACCACGAATTTAACAGAACGAGAAAAACCGTAATGTACATAATATTGACCGTTTTAAATGTCCATGCCGTGCCTGTACAAAAATTAATTTGACGATGGGTTTTCGGCATACATACAGCTGCAACTTACCTAATCCCAGAACAATTAACCACTGTAAAGCATCCATATCCTAATATCCTGTTCTGCTGAGGAACTATGTAGTCTTCGAGTTAAGAAACAGTGTTTGCGGCTTTGCGCTTAGCGAAAGCGGCTCACTAAGGCATTTTTATGTGTACTGCAACAGTCAACAAATGTTAGCTGTAGACCGGCAGGTTCACTGCCTCCTCTAGAAATTTTACGGTGAACGACTGCCGCGCCTTCGGTATGGAAAAGCTGCTGAGGGCATATAATTATTGTAGTATAAAATGATCACTGCTAAAAAGCCCATTATTTAAAAGATGGCACCTTCCTCGCCCTGGGACAAGCATCGCCTAATTGTCGTCTGAACTTTTTGAGACACTAAAGTATTGTTATATTCGTGATTGATCACCTGTCATCGTCTTGCAGCTGTGCCAGTAATTATTAAAAGCTTAGCTTGTTCGTTATGTAAGAAGATTCCTGAGGTGTAAGAAGATTCTTGATTTATTGATTTAAGTGGTCTGCACATGTGATTTATAACTTCGGCCACAAAAATCGAGGCAGTAAAAGCGCATCAAACATATCGAAACCGTTTAAATCAGCCATCGGCATTAGCGAACCGGTATACATGATTACCGGTTGGTCATACTTTTCAGATGGTATAGAAACTTCATTAAATTTTTGTAAATTTTGGATTGTCGGAAACCACTGTACAGGAACCAGAACAATGTATTATCATAGGAATACTGTATTATTATAGAAACTAGAACCGACGACTAATAATGGAAACAAAATTCGAGAAGGCAGTAAATGACGGGCACACGTTCCCTAATTGCTGACAGCAGTATGTACCTCGTAAATATTCTATGTATAAGACAACTATTCAGTAATTCGCCATTGAAACCAGAAATTATACAGCTGGAACGGCTTTGGCAAAAAAATCACCAATAATTTCTTCAACAGAAATCTAGGAGCTAGGAATCGCCGAAAACAGACACGCTGTAGCAATATAGTGGGCGATTTAACGAAGTCTCATAATACGAAAGGGATACGTTTCGCACAACGCATACGCTATATTTCTAAGAAAATTACTAGTAGTTTTTCCCGTTTTCTAGGCAGTTTTGTTTGTGTCACACATTTTGGCGGGCAAATAACGAAGTTATGTTCATCAAACGGCAAAGAAAACAACACTACTAGCTGGTTGGTTTTGTCTGCTCTGCGCTGTTTGGTTAAGCGTTTTAGCCGGAGACGGACTATCATACAGAAAACACGAATCCTCCCAGCCGGAGTACCAATAGTACGAAGTAAATTGGGCTGCAGTGCACGCCGGGAAGAAATTACATAGTTTCCAGCAAAAATCCAGCGAGACTTGATCTCCTCTTGTTTGCTGAAGAACGTGGCCATCCACTTCCACACTGGTACGGGCGGTAAAATTTTTGTAAACAAAGCCCACTAAAATGGCGTCCTCGATGCGGTGATACGCTTTCAGCCGGCAGTTGTAAGAATGCGGTACAAAACCGCATCGTGCCGGTTTCGCCTGTTTAGCTGGAGAAAACATGTCCCCTTTCAGCTGCTTACAAGCTTGCTCGGTTATATTGTAACGGACAGCAGTAAGAAGGGACTCGGTGTTATTCAGGGATATTCCATCTGATGGTCCATGGATCAAGCACTTGGACAGTTGCGGTTTTTTCTCGGTTTCATAGACAGCATACCGGCAATTGCTGTCACTGCGACATTGCTGTTCACAATCAAATTTATCCTTGGTAGTGATAAAAGTGATATTCTTTCCATTGCAATTAACGGAAAAGTACGGCAAGAATATGGCAGCACCCTTCTGCAAAGAATCCAAGTAAAGTATGTTTTATTGTAAGTGAATGCACATATTACAAGTCATAATTAAAGAATTTCGTACCACTTGGTTGGAGGTGACTCCGCTGACTGCTGAGTTGCTCAAAAGCGTTTTTCCACAGTCAACCAAGCTCACTGAAGGAAGATAAACAGTGTATGTCATGAAAGGGGTCATCGAAAGAGCTGAGAAGTACTTTGCACATCCCATTCAGGATTAAAGTATATTTGGCGTAGAGAGCCGTTGCCGCATCGTTATTTCACAGTTTTACAGTGTAGAAAAATTATAATTTGTGTTTTCTGTTAAAATCCAAAATGTAGCGACGTACCCAGTCCCAGAAGTATTTCCCACTGTAAAAACCCCATGTCGTACTCTGGTTATTTGTCGGGAGAGCATCCGCGGTTAACCTGCAAAATTGACTGTTCCACGTTGTCATGTGTGTGTTGCATAAGTGCGGCAAAAACGTTAGCAATGGCCAGCTGCAGGCGCTAAACAGCCGAAGAAGTTCTTCCTGGAACAATGTCGATGACTCAGTGCATTAGCTGTATCATCAAAAAACACCCGATGGTGTGTGCAACTGACTAACCGTGCGTCGTTCATGGTTCGTAATACTGCACTGTACAGAGTGTACTCTGCACATAGTTCCGCTATAACAAACTGTCGATATTAAATTTTGAATTCAACGTCTGAACTGTAATTCAGTTGGATTCGATTAATCGGTTTTAGCAAGACCTGTGTATTATTCATTTATTTAAGGTTATTAACTGCATGCAAAATCTTCTGAGACACCCTTGCAGTTTTCAAATATACTGCTCCCAAAGTTTTCATATTAAAATTTTTCTAAAAGAATCATTAAACAACATGCGGCTACAGTTATTGCAGTTTTGCTTGTCGCACAGTCATTAAAGAAACTTCTTTTGGATAAAATCTTGACGTTTCAACAGTTCACAATTATGTAATTCTCGCGCATACGAGTAAAATTTTACGGAAGATTGCGTAACAAAAAACAGGCAAACAACAGCGCAAATTACGCTGGATATCATGGGTTAAGACCAAAAACGGCGTCATGCTTTAGAGAAAGACTGTTGGAATATGCTGGAAATACCCTAATTTTCTTATAAGCACGAAAATTTGCTTTGGATTAAAAATGTGTATGCGGAATGTGGTGCTTGAGGATTGCCTTAACCAGTTCGTCCAATAGACCGGCAAAAAAGACAGTAATACTGGCTGGATGGTCCTTCCTTCTCCTGCCCCACATAGATTAATTTTAGTTTACAAGCCACAGTCTACAGAACATTTCGAAATTTTCACTGAAATACACAAAATTATCCAAGCGCGACTGTCAGTACCGGCATCAGGTAGCACAGCAGACGCAGTTATTTCCTGTGCCCTGCCTACATACTACTATACGATATCACCTTCGTTGCGTAGCTCGGCGTGTAGGAAAAAATGTTCGTCCACCAAATGGACGGATATGCTGTGATGCCGTGAATCTTTGGCTTTCGTATGGACTGGAGAGGATTACGTCCCATTATGATAGGACGTTAAGTCAATTTTTTTACATCATCAAATCTAATAGTGGAACAGCGGAAACTTGCATTTCTGAACAACGGTGTCATTGGCGCTTGTAATACAAATTTCAGCTTGACATTCCGATTGGCATTTTTCTGAATAACCACGGCTTTAATGACATCATAGCGCGCAAAGTTCGATATGGAATATGAACACACGCATGCAAAATTAGAGTGCGTACGTGGATATAATTTTCTTGCTGACACGCGTCCTAATATTCTCCCGATATCGCCGGAAAAATGCTAACGCATGCATAAATTTGGCCATTGACGCATTTATCAGAATCGTCTCTGTCAGATTTTAAAAGTTCAGTCTGTGCGTTTAATCCAAACCTATTTGAAAAATTAGCACAGAAAATTGACGCGCAAATCGAAACTCTTTTCCTAATTTCCTTTCTGGTAAGCTGCATTCCTTCTGCAGCCTAATTGGATGAATCCTAATTGAACTAATTAATCATCTTATGCGAGACAAAGTATCAGTACGTCATGATGCAGCTATAGGAAACGTTTGGAACTCTCGTGCGCGGAGCATCCGGCGCTGCGCGCTCTTCATTATTCAAAGAACGCTGCATTTTAGAATTCCCGTGAGATCACCAGACCAGCTACGAACAATGCAATGCAGTTTTAAGGGAACACTCTCGTGATGACTGCGAACATCGGGTTTGCAGCTCACTACTGAAAAACGCGAATGTGTTGAATTCTGATGCCATATACTGCATCGTTAAACATGTCGTCAAAATACTAACAGAACAAAAATGTTTTAACCTATTAAGTCGCCAGGTCTGGAGATCTGCCTTGCGTCCATCTTCAAGGATTACGAGTAGAAAAAGCTCCAGATTTCATGACCGAAGCAAATATCAGGAGATATATGTATTTTGTTTTTATGGTAAAAGGTTGTCTGTTGCATGCTTTTCTGCGCAGACATCTACGTATATACCGAGGCTAACCGAGCGACGACACGCCCTCTTTTGACAGAGACTGTATTAACCTTTCGATAAGTCGCTTAACGTCAGACTTATGACTGCTCCGGAAGCATTAATACACGGTACCCTGCTTAGTTTTAACTCATGACGCAAATTGCGGCACACATTTGTTATTAACTTAATGGGACGGCGCGCTACAGCCTTTCCATATTCTTCGTGATCATTAACATTTCACGATCTTATTGACTTAATCAGATTTACGAACGCTTGCTGAGCTGCAAGAATGTCTTTTGTTAGTCCAGAATTAATTGGATTTCCGCTTGCACCACACTAGGCGTTGGCTTCCGTTAGGTTGGCAGCTATGCTGTTATAATCTCCGGCTATACGGAAATCATGATGTTGATTCTTGTTTCAAGCAGCTGTATTATTTCCTTTTGCAAAGAACTGTTTACAAGTGAGACAAATATATTTTGCTTTTATTTTTCGATAATGATACGTCATTGCTCTTTTCTGAACCCAGGAATATATTTCGACTTGGATTTTAAAAGTTATATGTTGTCTAAAGATACACCGCCTGCCTGTTACAGAACTAATTAAGGCATGAGAATTAAAAGATAATACAGTTTTGTTTTCGAACGCTGTCATCTTCCTTGCTAACTTGCTGAAACACTTAGTCTCTTTTCCAATATGTTAAATATATCAAGCAACTTCTCGGGACTTCAGGATTTCCGTACTAACCATAATGTCTCGTCGAATGTCTTTCGTCCGGTTAACGCTTCTTCTGCCATTATCGGTCAGTTTGGTCTGAAAATCTGGATCTCCTTCACCCTATCGATATGCTATATTGGCGCGTTCCTGCTGACACTTTTTCTGTGGGCGATGCTGAAGATGGACAAGCACCGCACCGGCTCGGGAATTTTAATCATCCATCTAGTTATCGTGGAACTGATCATGTGCTGCGTACACGTGCCACTGACCTCGGTTATTACCTACATTGGCCAGTACGACGTATTCCCCGCAAGCCGCTGTGTGTATGTGGTCTTTCTCTTTAACGTCACGAATTATGCCGGTCAGTGGTCCAGTGTTTGCATCGGATTTAACCGTTTCGTGAGCATACAATGTCCGCAGATTTACGTAAAATGGTCCAGGAAAAAGACAATCACAATGATGGTAACCTTACATATAATAAATATTCTGACTTAATGCTGGAATACAAATATATGTACTTTAAATTTTTCATAATTTTGTTGGTAAATTCGATTACCGGTATGTTCCGATGTTCACATTTTTGACATGGTTTTGTTGCGTAGATCTCCGCTTACAACAAGTTTATGACAGTGGTTGTTGGATCAATATACCGGTATATGCGGTAAAATAAGCGTGTACGTTTTATAGATTTGCACGTGTTGGATGTTTTCCTTCGTCCTCAACTGTCCGTTTTTATCCGGTTTTGGCGGCCAGTACGACTTCATAATGCCGTATAAAGGCTGTGGATTCCGTCCAACAAAACATGTTTCATATTACCTGGTCACGCTGGCGACTGGCATCTATATCCCTAATTTACTCTTGTTGGCCATTTACACATGGGTGTTCTGTAAACACGCAGCATGGTCCTTTTGCGGACGCCGTGATTCAGCGGCAGAGAATGCCGCTTACAACCGCACTTCGCGGCGGCGACTGAAGACCGCCCAGGTGCTGTTTGCTGTCTCGATGTGGTACTTCGCCTGCTACATTCCCATTGGAATTCTGGGACTTTTGCGCGCGCCGGTGTATGTGCAGCACGTGATGCTGCATACCAAGACCATCTACGCTGCCGGATATGCAATGACACCGGTAATTATTAAATCCTATTATTAGGTTTCTTGGGAGTCGACTTTTGAAAGTTGTTGGTGTGTCTTAAACAACTTATCTTCGTACTGGGCAGATTATTAATTTCATTAATTTGTACACAATTTACAGGTTATGTTTTTCGTGCTGGGACGAGACTATCGCCGTGCACTGATTGTCACGATGTCCAGGATGTGTTGCATAACACCAGCCGGATCCAATCGCGTGCAGCAAGGCCTAACGACGAAACCGTCGTCTAACGCAAAACCTTACAGCCACACCGGCACGGCAAATGGACACAGGCAAAGTAAACAGCAATCTTTGACTCAGCAGAACGCCGGCAACAGTATCGCCAAATAATCTTCCGGCAGATGTTTCTGGAATCATTAGCCTTTGCTCGATTTTTTAAAGACAAAATAAACTAAAAAAGTGTAACATCCAGCGATATTTTTAACGCTTGAGATTAGAATTTGGAATCTGGATCATGAAGTTTTTTAGATACACGTGATTGTTTGTAGATAAATTCTCGACTTTCGTATCAAAGCGAACCAGTTTATTTTTTTTTGTACTTTCCGGTATGTATCGGTTACAGTAATAATAAATAACAATAATAATAATTTGTTTATTGTACTTTCCGGTATGTGTCGGTTACAATAATAATAAATAAGCCGGCAAACGACTGTTTTTTATATCATAAATTACAGTTGAAAAAATTAATAGGCACTGTTATCATAACACTGCGTAATCCTTACGGTAACAAGCGGATACTTCCGTGGAAGTTGTTAAAAATACGAACAAGCCATTTGCTGTCCGCTGGACGTAAAACTATACCGACAACCAAACTCAACGCAATCACAATTTCTGTCTTTAGAAATACACCACCGCTTGCTGCCGCCACTGCGGAATAAACAAACACGCACTTGAGATGGGGTCGCCTTACAGGCAGCTCGCACACAAGACAACCACTGTCTTCCCGCGTCGACCTCAATAGCCGGGCTCTCTCTCACTCTCTCTAACTGCCTCTCTGACAAGTGAGCCACTTCACATTTCTGCCTGAGCTGGTAGTTTGTTTGCCTGACATCGTCAGTTTTCCGGCTCCGTCGCTACAATTAGCCACACACAGTTTAAGGCCTAAAGTAAAACAAAGTAATACAAAGCTGACACACTTAGACAATACGCGGCATTCAGTTGCTTAATCATGTAGACGGTACAACACCCGTGAAAAACACTGTTAAGGACAACAATTTGCATTGATCATTAAGAATGGCCCAACAACGCTCCAACAGGTTGCCTGAGGATGCCGATGAGGAGGGGATGTTATCGCGTGTTCCGTTCGACTCGACGGAATCGCTCTTCACGGATCGGACGGCGTATTCACACCGCAGTAGTGTCGATCCGCTGGATTATGACCAGCCGGCCACACGGCGACAGTTGGCGGCGTTGCGACAGCTGCCGGAATGCGAGGGTACGGGACGGCAGCGGATGATGTGTGATTCACAGGCTACGTTATCAGTGGGAGAATGCCTTGGGAATGGACATGATCGGACACTGTATGATGATCCGCTGGAGCATAATATTCCACACGAAGACGACGATGAATGGTACGTTATTGGCTGTTTCCTATACATTCCTTCTCGTACCCTACTTTTTTCGGCGTTTTCGCGTCTAATTTTATCCGTTTTATTCTAAAAATGTAGCCATGTTTTGCTACTTCTTTTTATACTGCTGGCTTATTTAAAAACGGCTCGTTATGGTTTTATATATACTCTTTATTTTTTTGGCGGGCACGGGCAAAAACGTTGAGTAACCTGTGCTTCTTTTTGTAGTAGCGATTAATCAGTACCTTGATTTTTTACGTTATTTCTGTCAAACTTCTGCTTTTTGAACAATGTCTTCTACTCTTAGGGATATTTTTTAAAGTGCATTTATTTGCGTATGTTTCAGTTGATCTTAGTACTTTGGTATCAAGTTCTTGTCGGCAATTTCGTTGAGTAAGCATAGAATTATTTAAATTCCCAAGTTGTTTATTGCATGGGAGTAAGTGTTGCTAAAGTGTCCAGTCACACAATTGCAGGAAATCTGACGTCGCACAGCCCATGGCGGCACTGTATGCCCTGTTGATCATCATCTCCAATATCGCCTTATCAGTTTCCGCCCAAGCCCGGAAAGACAATCATATTCCAATAACCTACTCTAAGGTAAAAGCGCTTCGAAACGCTAGTTCACGAATTTCTATTCCATTACATCATTCTGTATACCACCGGTAAAACCGGAAAAACTGTTCGGACGAAAAAACCGTCTGCCAGGCAGACGCTTTTGCCATCAATCCAGCAAAACCGTCGGCTGGTTCAAACAACGTCCGCCAAGATTTTTTTTTCTCGTCAATATTTTGTGAGCTAATTAAAATAGTGCTTCGCACTGATCCAAAATTTTAACCTGGCGGCTTGGGCCGGGATGTAAATCCGCATACGAACGGTTACGCCGGATACTCTTCTAACAGAAAACACATCTTACTAAATCTTCCGGTTACAGTGGTTCGATGCGGCATTATACGGCCTGAGCATCTTATATCTCGTCTACGCAATGATCTTCCTCTTCCGCGTGAAGAAACTCACAAACGGAAATGGAGGCTTCTTCTTGTGGAGACCCTTCCGATTTCTGCGGAAAGGCATTACCACCTCGGACCACGACTTCTCCGCGTCCCACAACAGCAGCTATCAAAACTTCCCGCATCCGGTAGCCCGCACCAAGAGCAGCGTCTACCTGAAAGTAAACGCCATCATCTGCGGCATCGGCGCCATGATCTTCTCCTGCCTGGAATTCGGGGTCTTCATCAGTAATCGGCGCTGCTACGAGGTTATTGTTGGCGTGATTCCGCTGATGAATCTCACGTTTGTGGCGCTACAGACGTACTTTATCTTCCTTTACTCCAAGGTAACACAGTAAGCAGTCCTTTATTCACCGGCTCATATCCCCACATCAACCACGGCCACTATACCTGTTTGTTTTAATAGCACGTGATATACCGCAGTGTCATTCTGAGTCGGTTCGGGCTGATGCATCTGGTGGCGACGGATATTACGATCTGGTTACGGGTGCTGATTGATCAGACGCTGTACGAGTTTACCGTGTACCGCTCGCAACAGGAGAAGACACAGAACGGCACGGAGGAGCATACGGTACCCTTTGGTCAGGTCCACATGAATCTTTATTATCGAAGTAAGTATTGACAGATGATTAAAGAATCGCTCGTAGTTAGGTCATTTTTACTTTTGGCACACATCGAGATTTTCTCGTGGATTTGTTGCAGCAGTTTTATAAATTTTGGCTTAACGAGTTTTGAAAAGCCTTTTTTAACTTTCTAGACACACTTCCGGGATCTCACGTAACATTTTTTCTCTAAATAAAGTTTCGTATCCAGCAGTCATATCTTTTATGGCTGTTACACACTTTGGAATTTTTTATTTTAACTAACACTTTTCTAAATTCTAATTTGCGAAGTTTTCGAGAGAATGTTGCTGATGATTTGTTCTGCTTAATAAGTGCTTATATTTTTAAAAATTTCAGTTTCGAAACCAATGCAAACCAGTTTTTCTGCGGGTTTAATATACCATGAAGATCCCTGACAGGAATACGTCTTGTTTTTGGTTCTTGGAATTTTTGATTCCAGAATTATTTCTGAATGTTTTCGGTGGGAGCTCTTAATCGTATTGGTAAATGCGCTTGTGATACTTCAGGTGTGGATCGGAAATTCAACGGCATCGACGGATTCTCCACACTCTCCTCCCCAGCTTGCCTGCAGTCGGAATCCGTGCTCGCTGGTGTTCTCGTTAACGCCTCAGTCTTCCTGTACCCCTGTATCATCGGTTACGCCGTGATTTCCGCCGGTATCATCTACATCATGTACCGCAATATCTCTACCACGGAGCGCTCGTCTCCGCCGCGCTACAAACGCCGCTCGTCTGATGTCGATCACCAGCACATCGCGACATGGCAGCGGCATCAACTCACCGGGCGGTGGTGCAGCTACTGCAACGTCCTATCGACAAAAGGTGGTCCGACACAGAGACTGTACTGGCTGGATTGTGATCAGGCGGTGGGGGGACTGTTGACCGGATCGGTGGTGTTTGCGCTGACCATTGTGTGCTTGATCCTGTTCTTCGTGTTTAAGAATCGCAATCCGGAACTGGCTCTTATAGCGGTAAGCAACTGTTGTGGTGCGAATCCTTTCACTGTAATGTGTGGAGCTGTGCAAAGTGTCATTAAGAACAGAACTTTATCCCACTTCTTCGCAATAGAACTATACCGCACAACCGCAGTGTTTACGTCAGCCAACCAAAAGCCAGTACGAATTTTCTCGTCCCACATTTAGGTGTCATATTTAAGTCTGTACTTACATCTTAGTTCTGCCTTAGAATACAAGATTAATTTTATTGCTTCCGTTTTGTCCGCCTTTTAAATGCCGTATATCCGATTTTACCACCAGATCTGTAAATCTACAGGAAACGTGTTGTTTGAAATTTAGCAAGATAAAGATGCCGTTTTTATACACCGCTTATTTCACAGATATGTACATTATTGCTAACCAAAACCCAAAAAAATTTTCCAGCAACGTATGTGTTTGACAATTTTAATGGTACTCGTATTTTGAAGTACGGAAAATCGTTACGTTTTTGCGTAAGTCACTTTTTTCGGTCGTGTTACAGTTTCAAAAATCACAACTTCTTATTTTCTACAGGCACAAATCGGCGAAACCATTTTATACTGTTTGGGCATCGGCGCGACGATTATCGCCTTCGTGGAAGCCGCCCGGAAACTACCGAAAAATGTGGGATGTCGCGTTAGCTGGGAACTGGATACTGCAATGCTTTTAATCTCCGTGGTGAGTTACAAAGCATTATATAACGTCTTTATTATTGTCGCTGAATGTTACGAAGCAAGTCTTGTAATAGGTTGGCGTGTACGCTTTTAGCGTGCTCAGCATAATCGGCAGCAACGATGACGCACCGGGCATACCCATCAACACCATCCTGATGATTGTTACGCAGACATTGGCCATCGTCCAAGCCACACTGCAGACAATCTACATATTTGAGGCAAGTTCAAGGATTGCAGCATAATGCGAAAAAACCTTGCTTCTTTGCGCCGGACTGCCGGAACAAAAATTTTACTTGAAAACCCGACGCGCTGTTTGGCATTTGATCTTATATAAAAGTTACAGTACATACTTATCATGAATTATTGTGCAAGCATTGCAGTAAACCAGCGTTTGTTCTACTCGTAGGTGTCGCATCGTTCAATAGCGCATACACCGGTTTCGCTCAGTCATGGCGCTCTAGATCACATGGATGCTAGCCGACGTGTGGGGAAAATCCAGAAGCCTGGAAGGAACGCCTTGACTTTTCTGATTGTGATCAATATTTCCTTTTGGAATATGAACGTAAAGTCCTACCGATATAGCCTTTATAGCCTAATTTGGCCAAATACGGGTAGTCTCTCTGGATAGCAACTTCCAAAAGACAATTTTTGTTTGTAGATTTTCAAGACATTGCGGAGCGAAGCTAGTCCACTACAGAGAGATTTCTTTGGAGTTTACGAGTGCGTAACCAGTGTCCATCTAAATAAATATAGTATATGACTAACTTAGTAGTTTTCGATGGATTTTCTCTAACACAACATAACTATGTGAATGGCTTTATAAAGTAGTGCCGCCTTCTTGGTACGCTGGCGGCTACGCCCATTAGATCACATAACTGAGATATTATAGGAATATAACTAATAAGTGACGCTATTTGTGAATTTAGGTGGACGATTATCACGCACGTGACGGTGCCCTTGACTTTGCTATACAGGTAATTGCGTTGTTAACCGACTTTTAATGTAGTAACTGGTACTGTAGCACTGCAGTCGTACTTGCTTTTCGCTGATTCGCGAACACTCGAGCACTGACACACGTTACAGGTTTCATTCCGCAGCGGGGCTGTTTGAAATCTGGAAACATGCTTATAAAATTAAGCATCCGGTCGGCGGAGCTGGAGCACCGGTTCCTGCGATTTCGGCACACCCCAGCGCCACCAGTATAGCCGGACCCAGTACGACAGAAACACTGAATCAAGATGGTAGTCAGTCATCGTCCGTACTGGGAACTGCACAACGGAAAGGCAGGCATCCACCCGATGCCCGGTTTCCGGCGCTGGATTTGGACTATTCTAGCAACTGGCAGCGAATAGGCAACGATCATTCGTCTTCCCGGTTATAGAACTTGTTTTTAGTTTACAGTTGTAAAAATGCTCTGTACAAATAGATTACTTTTAGTTCACAATTACCATCAAGGCTAATTGTGCTTTCGACAGCTTGTAATTAGAATTGTATGGCTCCTCCCATCCTACTGTAATCATGCAGATACTCTATGGAGAAAATTAAAACAAACAAACAGCACGATCATGAGCCATATAATGGCCAGCATAGAATTCGTTGCACGAATATTTAAGAAGGGCGTCTACTACTCTGGTTCCACGATTCACGGTTTGTCTTCAGCGAATGCATTTGCATTTTATCTGGAAAAACAATTCTCAGTTTCAATATTAGCAAATATGGAATATTTTTCGTCAAACGGTTACTATTGAAATGGTTCGGAAGCAGCCTATTTTTGGAAAAGGTAGGCTTCTGGGTGCACCAACCTGATCTGGATCTGTCCGTTCCTTGTACACTGTAGGATGCTACGTTAGCTGCTGAGTCAAATGAAGAATTTCTGGCTGGATCGATGCGAGCAGAGGGTCTGACCTGCGACACCAGTCTTGCTCTACATCCGCTGATCAGGTTCCATAACTGCTGCCGATAGTCAGTCAGAAGGAGAAAATAAATAACCTAGGGTGAGGAACATCAATGACAGAACGCTTTAAATAGCTACTCGAGTAGATAGCCGCATGTTGATACAGTACGTAATGGCGGTTGTATATACGCTACATCAACTGAATTTTACCTATGAGAATTTTAATCATTACGTAGATCAAGAATTTTGTTTACAAGTTACCGAACTGGTTCCAGTTCAGGTTCGTCTTTCTCGTAATAAGCCTCTTACAACGAAGTTTTTAAGAACGGATAGTATCATGGCCTTAAATGATTCGCACACAAGCAGTTAGCAGTTGTCTTCGTATACAGTGCACGCGGTACAAATGCCTGTAGAATGAAGTAAATATACGGTAAAACCAAAGTATTTCGAAGAGGGTAAAATAGAAAGTGTGGGTGAATTTGTACAAAAGTGTTACTGTTTACTGGGAAATTTTTTTGAAGCAATAAAATGCGAGTTTACGGCATACCGAAATCGAAGCAAAGCCTGCGAGCCCCACAACGCGCAGAGTTAGCTGCAGAAACGGCTCAGATAATAATCGAGTAAATAAGAAGGCTATGACGGGTCCCGGTAGAATACAGCTGCTGTAGGAGACGAAGGCGGCAAAAAAGATATAGGCACTGCGATAGCGCCGACGCTGTCGCTGTCGCTGTATTCCCGGTACATCATCGTCCAGTGGCGCACTGGCTCCCCATCGGCGCCACTGTCGCCACATAATTACCAGGAAAACGCAAATATAACACAGGAACGACACGGCGATGGGTATGACAAAGGGGATAACCGTATACAGTCCGGACCACACAGAATTCTTGTAGACAATATTGCATGATCGCCACACCGTCAGACGCTTCACACTGCCCGCCAACTGCGCCATCTGCATCCCAGCCAGTGTCAGTCCAATCAATGCGGCAAAATGCTCATCGTATACAGTACGAATTTCTTCGTCCATTTGGTTTACAAGTGGGGATGGCAACGAATCGGTTAAATGCTATCATGCAGTCGGCCCAGTCGATCCATGTGATTAAACATAAATAGAAGCAGAACATCCATGGACAAAACTGATCGCTGACTGGCTGGGAAAACGGCGTCCATTCGCTGGCGATTGCCGTAAGTTGGACACCTAATCCACACTGGAAGGTCACCGCCACCTGGAGGGTCAGCAACAGCGCTTTGGACTTGGAGTGTATGCGCGAGGTAAGGATGCATGTTATGAGAAGAGCACTGGTTGTTGTTCCGATTATAGTAAAGAAAATCATGAAAGAGCACCATATTTGGATCTGCACGCGGTATTGGATCCATACTGGAGTTATGATTTCAGAAGTCTTGTGGGTTGCCCCGAGCATAGTAATAAGTTTTTAATTACAGAGTGCTATTTTCCAGACTAGTTTATACTGAAAAAATTGAAAAAAGGCAAGAATGAAGGTTGACTCAGAGACTTTCATTGAGATTTAATGATAAATTCGTTATTTTACGGTTTTTCAAATGGAAGATATAGAATTTGCTTTATCATCCATGAATTAAATACTACTAATTTTAAATATCAATAAAACTATTTGAAAGAAGTATTATTTAAAAATACCATTTATTAAATAAATGAAGTATTGTTTAACCGAAAATTCCGGGATTCTGTTGAACAGAACTTTCCTGGTGACAGATGCGATGGTGGAAGCATCCTCAACCACTCCCGGATTTTGCAAAGAGATTCTTAGATCTTTTCGAAATCTGTAGCTTTGAGTTCCACGCAAAGAATCTTTCCAGATATTTAGCATTCAAATCAGTTTAGAAATACCAAATACCAATACCACAAAATACAGTAGGTAATAAGGTATACGGTAGAGAATGTGCATTTTCGCACAAATATAATAAAAGTACAATCTTGCCCCGGCTCGATACTGCTTGTAAGACGCGAGTGAGTTAAAACTCGGAACTTTATAAACCAAAATAAATGTTTGCATATGCTGGCAAAGAAACTATCAAATTAGTGAAACATGTGTTTTGTAGTTCGTCAGTCTTAAGACGCGCGACCACTTAAACATTCCTCAATCCTAAATAATCTTAAACAATCCTAAACATCAAGTGCTGAACACTGCCGATGACAATACAATCAGTAGAACGGTTTCGTTCTCAAAATGTAGACGGCTCACTCGAGATTGATGGACTGAATGAATACCGACATTCAGAAATCTCTGTCCAGGAACCCTGGAAGATGAGTCCGTGGCGATGTAAGAAAGATGATAATCCGATACGCAAAGCGGACGCTAACGAAAGGAGAAAATTAATAATCCAGTATACATACTACAGAAATGAAGTGCACCCGTGACGTGCTAAGATATAGGGATGCACACAGAGACCGGAAGTTTGTGTGACTGCTAATGCGGTATTTGTGTACGTGCAAATGAGAGCTTACCAGGTTGTTACAGTACTTTGATGAAACCCAAGAGTGATGACTTGGCATGTTTAAACATCGTACTAATAAAGTCCCGAAACCCAAAAAGATTTACTCTTGATTTTTTCAGTATGCGGGTTCCTACCCGCATTTTGCCCACCAGGTGTTAAATTCTCCCAGCAAAACAAAGTTGCCAGAAATGCTTACTTTTATAGCACTGCAGAAACTGCTTATGGTTTTTTAAATCGTAAAAATCAATAAACTTTCATGAAAAAATAAGATTAACGAACTACAGGAACTAGACCGGGTGTAGTGCACAAGAACCTGTCATTTTTCGTACGGTCGTACGTATTACAAATGTTATTTCAGTACCCAACAAGTACGTTTTGTTTGGATAATCACAAACTGCAGTGAAAGGCAAGTCAAAAATCGAAAGGTAGGTCGTGCAATCAGCAGTTAGAAAGTGAGTCCCTTGGTGATGTGGGTGTTGCCGGTGAGCATAATACCATGAAAGTACAGTATTCTGTATTTATATGCATAAAGTGAGCAAAATATAAGAAAAATTGCGGTACTGTGAAGGTCAGCCCGGGCGACTTGCAAATGCAGTTAGTTGCCAATTCCAGTATTCGGGCGATGGTCTAGTGCGCTTGTCGGCCAAACAACCCGCGTTACATCCATGCATTTTTACTGCACTGCTTTGTTTTTTATTTCTGATAGCGCCGTGATTTGTGTACTGAAGTCTAAATCTGTTGATTCATCTGCGGTCCAGTCTACAGAGATTTATTCAGAGTTAATAAGCACTCAGTACGTACTCTGTACTTAGGTATGTAAACGGTGCTGTGTAAAAATAACTCTTCGTCACTTTGATTGTAAATTTAGGTGGACGATTATCACGCAGGTAACTGTGTCCTTGCCTTTACGGTACAGTCTATTATTCCATTAGCTGGCTTTACTATAAATGGTAGTGCATACTACACTAATCGAGTTTCACGAGGTTAAGATTCTCGAAACAGTCATGCAATAAAACATATTGTTACAAGTTTCATTCCGTAGTGGGACTGTTTGAATCTGGAAAAACGCTTACAAAATCCAGCATCCCATTGGAGGAGCTGGAGTACCGGTTCCTGCGCTCTCGTCACACCCCAGTGCGACCAGTTTAGCCGGACCGAGTACCCCAAAGACAGAATTACAATGGCTGCCAGTCGTCATCCGTGCTGGGAACAGCACAACGGAAAGTTGCACACATCCACCCGATGCGATCCGTTTTCAGCACTGGATTTAGACTATTCTGGCAACTGGCAGCGAATAGGCAATGATCCCTTGTCGTCCCGGTCATAGAATGCCATCGTCTTTAGTTAACAGATGTAAAAATGCCCGGTACAGGTGGACTGCTGTTGAATCATATAACCAGCAAAACTGTCAGTAATATCTGTACGATTTCAAGAGCTGACCATTACAATTTTATGGCTCCGCATATTTAATTAAGCATTAAAATGGCAAAAATTAAAACCGAAAAATAGCAGTTTAGATGGCCACCGCAGAATTGCACTTATAAGAATATCTGAGCAGGGTGCACATTGCCTTAATTCCGCGATTTGCGAATTTTCTTCGTCGACCGCATTTGCATTATGCCTAAAGGAAAGGAAATCTGGATGTCAGTATTATGCAATAATTTTCGTCTACGGTTACTTTAGAAGAATTCAGAAGCTGCCAGTATTAAAAAATGTGGGCTTCGGATTTCACGAACCTGATCTGGATCTGTCCGTTCCTTGAACACTGTAGGATGCTACGTTACTAACATTAGCTGTTCGGCCAAACGAAAAATTTCCAGCTGGCTCAATGCGAGCGGAGTGTCTGACCTGCGTCAGCAATCTTGCCCTACATCCGCTGATCAGGTTCCACAGCTGCTGCTGATAGTCAGTCAGAAGAAGAAAATAAATCACCTAGACGAAGGTACACCAATAATTTGTAGTGCACTGAGATCCTCGATATAACACATGGTATTAACTAATCATGCAACTGAAGGTACGAGTACATCAGCTAAAATTTATCATCATCATTAAATAAAAAAGTGGGAAAACAAATTACCGAACTGGTTTTGGTTCACGTTCGTCTTTCTCTTTTCTACTTATTTATGCCTCTTATACCTCAGTTTCGCAAAGAACGGA